TCTTGAATCAGCTTAATTTAAGAATTATTGAATTATTCGATTTTTCAGTAATTTTCCGTCTATCTCGTATAGGCATTTTAGAGCGTGTCATTGGAGTTTCCGTCTTGAATCAGCATATTTGAAGAATTTCCAGCGCGAAGGTTCTCCAAACAGGCTTTCATTACACGTGAATTGCAGTATATAGAATACAGTCGAATATTGGAGTTGAATGAACCAGACAGCCACGTATAAATCTCGCTCGGCTCTTCGAGTTCTGGCGTCCCCTATCCCCGCTGTCTGTTCGATCGTTCCAGCCACGTGGGAGCTATTGTTCAGACACGATTCACTCGGATTATCTTCGACCTGTTAATTAGTTACGCATGTTAGTCCTCCGTTGAGGAGCGTGCATCGTATAAATTCCAATTAGGCCCTTCTATCGGTGTGAAATCATCCTTCCAAGGTTTCATTCAGCCAGGAAACAATATTTATCAGCGTGCCGTATCGTGGGAAATGGAAATATTCTCTTTAGCCCATTAATTTTGAAACTTTAACTTTATTTAATTAGTTTATCGTACGTGTTCCAATTATTCTGATACAGATACAAACTTCATGTTCTAATTATTCTGATACAATTAACAATCTTGTCTTTGAACTATCGCGATATAATTAACAGTTTCACGTTCGTTAACATAGTTAACAAAGTCATATTCTAATCATTACAATACTAACCGATTTTTCGAATCATTACGACTGCGTCCAAGATTAATATCAGGAACTTTCTAAATTTCCAATTCGATCCACCACTAAACTCTCAAAGACAGTTTAACACTAGAATTACCAATCAAAATGGCTTCTATTGCTTTACTTCGCGATTATTCATCTCCTAAAAGCAGCGAATATTTAAAAATTAAATTCAGACATAGAGAACAATGAAAGAAAAGAGATGGAACTATTTTCCGTTAATAATTTAGACATAGAACTGACTTTCATCAATGACTTTCAAGAACCCACCCGTTTTCAAACCCTTTCACGTACAGCAACGTAACAACAATTGACGACAGAAAAGTATAAATTATTAGATAAAGAACAACAAAGAAAAGATGAAACTATTTTTCCTGAATTATCTACACATTGAAGTGACTTTCATTGGTAACTCTCAAGATCCGAACCATTTTCACGGAAATCCTTCCACGTACAGCAACGTAACAATTGACGACAGAAAAGTATAAATTATTAGACAAAGAACAACAAAAGAAAGATGAAACTATTTTTCCTGAATAATCTACACATACAAGAGACTTTCATCGACGACTTTCAAGAACCCAACCATTTTCACGGAAACCCATATACAACGCAACACTCGATAATATCGGAAAACCCCGAAAGTTCCCATCAGAAATCGATCTCCACCGTTTCCGACGACCATGAAATAAAAGCTCCCATCCCGCGGAACGCCGTTGACGAGATAATTCTTCCGCCGTGCCGATTAGATCGTCGTCGATACAGAAATTCAGCTTGAACCGGGCCGCCGCGGCGGATCCATAAATTTCCAGGCCGGCTTTCCCCCGTTTCTTTCGTCTCTCGATCCGGCGGATACGATGAATCGTGAATTCATCCGAGTGGCTGCATAACGCTCGAGAACATCCCCCGAGCGTCCGTGACGTCGACGCCGTTCGCCGTTCGCCGTACGACGGAAGGAGGGATGCCACGACGACCCACATTCCGTCGAATTTAATTTCATGCCTTATCTCTGGTAACCACGGTACAATGCTTCAACTGGGGCGGCTGCGAATCCTTCTATCTTTCCCTTGTACGCTCCACATACACCGCAGTACAGCGCCGTACAAACTCGACCGAGACGTCGACGACGACGACAACGACGACGACGTTGCGTCGTGTTCCCCAGCCGTTTTACCGGAGCAAATTTTTCCCTCCCCCTCGCGTTCCCTTTAACGAAACGGCGAGCGTTCCGTGTAGCACGCCCTCGCACTGAATTATGGATACGACGCTGGCGACGGGATTCGACGCGACCGGCTCGGATCGGGAATATTTCATCCCTCGAGCTTCGCCCCACTCGAAAGGGAAATATTAGGTTTCCACGTAAGTTTCTTCCGCGCTCTGGCAACGATGTTTACCTTCATAGGTAAGAAATTACCTTTCGTTTCAATTTAGGAGTGAACGACGCTTTTCTGTTTTGATAGAAATGAATTTTAAATACTGCGATCGTTACATTTTTCCAGTCTTGGGTAATAAGGAAAATGAATAATTGGAAAGAAAAGAAGTGAGCTTCATATGATTCTACGAACGGATAGACTGTCACTTTAGGCAATGGTAGAGAAGCGCCATCGCGCCGCTTGGGACTCGGTTGAATGTGGAACGCGTGGAACGTGAAATATTTGGGGGTTGCGCGGTTGGAATGTGGTTTTTCTTTTGGGGTGGGAACTGTAGAAAGGGTGGACGGTTTGATGGATACGTTGTTTAGGAGAAGTCTTCTGTGGGTAATTATAAGGGATGATTGCTTTTTCCCTTTTTATGGTCGTAGTTTTGTAAAAGGAGAACAAGCTATGGGTTTGTTCAGTTAGATTGACTTGTACGTAACTAGAGTAAACGAAGAATGAAAATAAGTTGACGTGAGAATTTTTTTGTGGATAATAGTAGGGAATGATTGTTTTCTTCCTTTTTATGGTCGTAGTTTTGTAAAATGGAGAACAAGCTGTGGGTTTGTTCAGTTTGGTTGACTGAAGAATGAAAAGTAAGTTTACGTGAGAATCTTTTGTGAGTAATTCTAGGGGATGATTGTTTTATTCTTTTTTATGGTAATAGTTTTGATAAGCAGAAATCAAGCTGTGGGTTTGTTCAGTTAGATTGACTTGTACGTAACTAGAGTAAACGAAGAATGAAAATAAGTTCACGTGAGAATTTTGTTGTGGATAATAATAGGGGATGATTGTTTTCCTCCTTTTTATGGTAATAGTTTTGTAAATGGAGAAAAAGCTGCGGGTTTGTTAAGTTCGGTTAACCTCCGTGTAACTGGAATAAACGAAGGATGAAAAGTAAGTTTACGCAACCTCGTTTTCCTCGATGCACGCACGTAAATAGAGGGTGATATTTATTTACACGCAACTCGCGTCTGGTTATTAACCCTCGGTTACCCTCGGAAAACACGCGTCGTTAACCGGGGTTCTCTTTTATTGACGGAGCAGTTGCAGTCTGTTTTATCATGCAGGTTGAATGTAGTAATTGTAACTACATCATTTTTCGTGGTTCAGGGATTTGGGGATGAGCTAATTTCGCGTACGTCGTGTATAATGACGTGGGTGGGTGATAAAAATTTCATACCACTGCGGAGTAATCCGAGATGAAATTGAATGTTATGGTAGACATTTCTGTGTCACCATGAACCACCTGTGGCGGTGGTTTGTAGACTCGCCACTAGAGGGTTCCTGTACCGATGTCTTTCTCCCTGTTCCAGGTTTCTTGAATTTTTATATATAGATTTCGAAAAAGATGAATAACATTCCAAAAATAATTTTAACTTTCACATTCCCCTTACCTTGCCTTGTGTTATGTACGAGGTCTGAATATGAAACTTTGGTACTTTTGTTTAACACGTTGACTGCCATATCGGTCACCCATGACCGAAGCCTTCGAATTACTTGACAATAATTATAATTCGTCCGACAACTAATGTCGAATGAAAATATTTTGTAGCGTAAATTACTAGATAACACTGTGACGTATGCATTCCTATACTAAATAATAAGTAACTGTTCCTCTTTATCTTTGCTACAAAAGAGTAAGCGATACATAAAACTCTGAAGGTTTTCGTGGCAGTCAACGTATTAACACTAGAGCTATCGAGCAGTAAAATTGTCTTTTTGAAATTCTTCTGTAGGAACATCAACAGTGCAATTATTAAGACTCCAGTTGATTTAAAAATTAGTTTTATGTGTAGCTAAAAATCAGTTTCTCTAGTACTTTTTCAGAGAAGCTTTTATCTGTTGAATAACTGAGAAAAATGAGATCAAGAATGGCTCATTTGAACTCGTCCAGAAGTTCTAGTGTTGAAAACTAAGACCTTGTTTCAATTAAGTATTGAACATCATTTAAACCAATTTACAAATAGTTGAATTGAACATCAATGAATATAATAATGGATTTACTTTCAACAATAAATTACCTTACTCCTTCCACATCGTAACATCCAAACTCACTGCAAAGGATATCTCATGTTAATCAAATACACCAAAGGCAGCCTAAATTCATCCAAACAATACACTATACATCCAACATCGACCTTGAGCCACAGCAATTTACTTTGCACCCCTTCATCGAAATCAACCGATTACTTAGAACTCCTTAAAATGAATGGATGCACCTCAACAATAACAGACCTTACCTAATAAATTACCTTACTCCTTTTACATCACAATCCAAAAACCAACTGCAAAGAATGCTAATGTTAACCGTTTGAGTGCTGAGGGTCGCTATAGCGCTCTTCTTGTGTTGTGCGAAAATTGCGGAGAGTGCGGAGGCGCTTCTGTTTATCAGTATCAATTATAATTTTCTTACTATATTCTTCAAGAAATAAATCAAAGTAACTTTATTTGAATAAATATTATTTTTCGATATCTTTTTGTAACACAATATTTGTGGTCTCATTAGATAACTACTCTTACTAATTTTTCTGCATACACACAAAAGTTGTTTAGCATCGAAACAATTAAACAAATATACGAAAGGCAGCCAATTTCATCCAAACTCAACCAAACAATACACTACACATCCATATGCTGTCATATACATTCATCGGAATCAACCGATTGCTTAGAACTCCTTAAAATGATTGGATGCACCTCAATAATAACAAATGTAACAATAAATTACCTTACTCCATCCACATGAAAATCCAAAATCAACTACAAAGGATGTGTAATGTTAAACAAATACACCAAAGACAGCCTATTTCGTCTAAACTCAACCAAACAATACACTACACATCCATGTATCCCTACACCGACCTTGAGCCGCAGCAATTTACTTTGCACCCCTTCATCGGAATCAACCGGTGCTCACAATGGTCCGTAACAGTACCAGCGGCATAGTTCGAGTTTCACGGTATTCAAGCGTGTCCCAAACCGTTCATTGTATTTCGGTCGTCTACAAATATGCTCGGTCGGGCGGCAAAAGAGACGAGACGAGACGAGAAGAGAAGAGAAGAGAAGAGGGAGAAGAGATACGTGCTAGCGATACGCGGTCGTGGGCGTATTTAAACTATCGTGGACGCGACAGAAGCGAGGAATGGCGGAGTGCAACCGAGAGAAACGGGGTTGGGGGGAGAGAGAGAGAGTCTCTCGGCAGAGTTCACGATGTAGTCCGCGGGGCTGTTGTTGATAGCAGTGTTCCCCATCGGCGTGCACAGGTACATCTGTTAGGAAAGTGTGGTCGCGTTAACGGGCCTCCCGCGCCTCGCGTAGGAGGCGGATACACGGCTGGAGGTCGATTGTGGCTATTTCTGCGCGTGCACGCGCGCGACGATGGTGTAGGACGATCGCTTTATCAGCCGTGACGAGGGTGGTGGCGCGGTGGCGCGGCCGCGACTCCTCCTCGCCGTTGAATGCCGGTTAAAAGCGCGAAAACGGGACATTTATTTCGGGAAATCGAGCCGGCCGCGATTATTAACTCCGCGTAATGGGACGCTCGCCCCGGCAGGAAATTGAAAAACACGAGGGCGCACCAGGAGGAGGAAGAGGAAGAGGAGGATGAGGAGAGGGATGAGGGGACCGACAGGGTGGGCGGCGCTGGTTGGTCGGGATCCAATTCTTTCGGCGTTGGACCGGCAGCCGCCCGGTGAGACGGGAATTCACGCTGTTTACGCAAAAAGCTTCCGTCGTATTCCACTTCTAGGCTGGCTCGAGGGGGATAAACAATCCGCGCGTTGTTCCAGTTTACGGGAATACTTGCACACCGGATGCTTGACCCCAGGGACTCGCGTCAGTTACAGATCCTGCGAAACGAGATCGCGCTCCCCTGAAGCATACACTTTTCTAAATGAATTCTTTACGCGGACCATATTCACCGGGACGAGGAATTGGAATGAACGCCTGGCGTGGGTCACGATCAACGCGATGATGGTCCATTCTGACTGCTGGTTGCCGGTAAATTAAACTGTCCTCGATTTCTCGCGCGGCTCTTTGTCGGTTCCACGATTGCGGCGCGGCGTTCTTGTCGAGGAAAATCGTTCAGCCTCGATGTTCGCCGCGAACTTTCGCGATATTCTCGTTCCGAGGTGGATGGGATTTAATGATTTTGCTATTGCGGGTGTATACAGTCAACGAAAATGGAGTTGATGGTTGACACTATGGATACTATAGATATTGTTATTAGAAATTATGAACTACGACATTATTCATTCATTTTTCTAATATTTCGTTTAGATTTAGATTGAAGAAAGTATAATCGGAGACCGTCGCCGAAATAATCGCTGATTGTCATTCGAAATCTTCCGGGAAAAGCTAACCGTTGAAAAACTCGAGAAGAGTTTTGAAAATACACGACTAATCTTGGAAAATAAGTTAACCCTTTGCAGACGAATATCGACATTTCGGCGAAATGAAACTTTCGAAGACTAAGTCGCGAACAAATGATTTAACCCTTTGCACTCCAAAGGTGCCTCTCAGTCACCACTCGATTAGTGCATCAAAACTGTAAAATTTCATATTTAACATTAAGTCTCGAGTTATCTGCCGATACGTGAAATGTGGAAACAAAATACCATTGTTCCTCTTATTTTCTGAATAGATTCCTTGTTAAGTTTAAAAAAATGTCATATGTATCTCATAAAAATAAACTGAATATTTCTAGTGACAAATTTTTGGAGTGCAAAGGGTTAATTAGTCAAATAGCAAGAAATGTACTTCCCTTTCATTCTATTACTCAACCCCTTAACGCACAGTTTTTTTTAAAAAAACCGGCCAAGAAAAATCAATTTTGATATACTGCGCTTTTGTTCCATGGAAAAGGCTATATTTTATTCTTGAATAAATAAGTGTTATAGCTTACAATCCCATGTAAACGATACATATCAATAAAACGATTTTTTTTCTTCGCTTTCACATTGTTATTTTCACAGTTTGGCCTGTTTAGCGCGCTCGAATTAACTCGAGCGTGCAAGTTAAGGGGTTAAGCAACTGATATATTTAGCTTCACCTGCTGAAGATTTTGTATTTCAAGGAACCCTCGTCCGCGAACGGTTAAAATCTCAAAAGGCATCTTCCGACACCTTCTGCAGAAACAGCGTTGAATACTCCGCATCCCCCTCTACGGTGAAAGCTCGTAGACGTTAGCCCTAAATCGCGACGCAAGCCCGTACAGTGGCTTGAAGGGGCCATAAACGTCCCGTAGACGTCTAAATCTACGCAAGAGCCGGGCGGCGTTCAGCGTGTCTAAGATACATGGTATCGCAGGATCTCGGGATTCCATGCGGAGCCTTAATTGCCAAGTAAGGGGCAATTAGCCCCGCGGGTAGCAGGGTGTTCGGGTGACATCTAATCGGATCCCGGTAATCTCTGTGACAGGCTTGCCACCGCACCAGATGGACGAGGCTCGAGGGAGGATTGTAGAACGATAGGAGGCGACCGGTTGCGGCTGCAGCTGCGGCGTCGGTCGCTGCACCTGCAGCTGCAGCTGCGGCGACGGCGACGGCGGCGACGCTGCCGGTAGCAGCGGTTCGATCGGACGGCGTAACGATGCAGAGCACCGGCGACTACTATCAGAGAGCGAGATGTTGTCCGGGAAGGAACGCGAACGCGAACGCCGAGGCGCTGCGCATCAGCACGACCGTCAGGGGCGCGGAGTTGCTCTGCTGTTGCTGCAGCTGCAGCACCTCGACCTCGACCAAAACGCCAGGCCTCCTGGCCAGCCTCGGGGTCTGCGTCCTCGTCTTGGGGTACACGCTGCTAGGGGCTTTCGCGTTCATGGCGCTGGAGGGCGGCCTCAAGTCGGTACGTAGCGGTTTTTTTATTGTTAACGCATCGCGCGCCGGGTAATTTTCAGAAAACTGAATTGTGCGGATGGCAGTTTTTATTATTAAGGAACCATTAACATCAAGAAACGAAGCTATATTTTCATATTTCACGTTACTTTCGTATCTTCCGTTTCGAATACAAAATTATTATTACACGTATCTTCATTCTAAACTCTTTACACTCGATAATTTTTTACTAGGAATATTCATCAATCCAATGAAATAAATTTGACATTCACTATTAACCCTTTGCACTCGACAATATTTTTCATTACAAGCATTCATTATTTTCTGACGAAATATTAACAATATTATTTGCAAATTACATAAAGAAACGTCTTGCATAAATTATAGAGCAGAGTTGTTTTATTTCTATGTTTCATTTGTTAATACCTGATTCAACATTTTATATTGAATTTTTCAGTTTACAATTTTGTTGCGTTCAATCAAATGACGACTGAGAGTCGCTCCTTAAGTGCAAAGGGTTAAGAAACCATGAACATCAAGAAACGAAGCTATATTTTCATTTTTCACATTACTGTCCTATCTTCCATTTCGAATACAAAATTATTGTTACATGTATCTTCATTCTAAACTCTTTACACTCGATAATTTTTCACCAGGAATATTCATCGATCCAACAAAATAAATTCAACATTCTTCACTGTTAAGAAACATAGTAACAAGGAACAATATTTCATATTTCACATATCAATGTATTCAAAACAATTTAATATTATACATAAAGCTTTTTAATTCTACTATATCCAATTAACACATTGCGTAGCGGCTAATTTTCAGAAAACTGAATTGTTGCGGATGGCAATTTTCACTGAGATCAACTTATATCGCTATACATACAAAAACTCAGATATCATATTGTTATGTAACATATATTAACCCTTAGCACTCCAGGTTGTTTTGTAATCCATCAACAACTGCAACTAATTTCTATGGTATTCCTAGTGAAAATTAGAAATGCTATAACATTTCTTCGATCTTTTATTTTCCTTCGTAGCACAAAATTTGGATGCGCGGAAAATCGAATAATTTTAGGGTAGTTTCTTTAAGATTCATTAAAATATTTAATATTATAACTTCTGCAATATTGGAGCCTACAGAGTTCAAAGAATTAAATAGATAATCAATTCGAATTTAATTTTATATTTTTTTCAATGCTTTGGTAATTAGTGAAGTTGCATAGTTAAGTGTCTTTATATGAAAACGAGATCTCTCGTTAACGTCAACGTGTTAACTTCAAACTATCCTCCCATTGTTAAGACTACAGTAGATTACTCGCTGATAGATGTAACAACTGCTAACCTGGTTTACAGTTTTAACGTATTCGATCTAACGCTCGCCATCCAAATCTTCTCTTATCCCGATTAGCCGAATGGTAAATTCTCGTGGCAATTCTATGTTAATCCTTCCAGGATTCGAACGATCTGCTCGTTGCCGGTGGCTCAAAGTCCGACGGTGGGTCTAACGTGGTGCCCAGCCTGGAAGATGATTCAGCCGCCATGGAGCTCAGGGCACGCACCGTAGAGAGGCTTTGGAGCATCACGGAGGATTTGAACGTGCTGTACAAGGAGAATTGGACTCGATTAGCAGCGAGAGAGGTGTTCGAGTTTCAGGAGAACCTGGCGCGTGGCATTAGACGGACTTCCTCGCAATACGAACCGGTTGGCTCTCGCTCCAGGGATCATCCTATGGACAGGAGGTCGCATCGTCGGTGGACATTCAGCGGCAGTCTCTTGTATTCGCTGACGCTCATCACCACAATCGGTATGGCCTACGAACATTCAACTGTTAACAGGTTGAATGCCATGGAGTCACCGGTGACCACCAACCAAATTAAATTACTATAGTTCATTCAATTAACCCTGTGCGGGCGAAGATTCTTTGAGATATACAAAGCCTTCGGCAGATCGAGCTAAATTATATACGGATTACTTAATTAATAGAAAAAAGGAAACTACGTGCTGATTTCTTGCTTTTCGACTAATCATATCATTTGTTCGCGACTTAGTGTTACGAATATAAAGTTTCATCTCGCCGAAATATCGACATTCGTCCGCGAAGAGTTAAACCATGGTTATTTGAAGATGTTTCTATATTATAGACAATGCTACCTGATGCGGTGATATTCAGCTAGATGAACATGTAATAATAATAACGCAAATCAATTAAATGATTTAATAGTATGTTTTTTGCATTTTTTACATTTTGCTCTATAAAATCGTGCGGCATTCAACGTGTTAATTAAACTACATCTTTGGCAACCACTGTTCGATAGTTTCAATAACTTCAACTTTTACACGCTAAGGCATGTAAATTACTATGATCAACACTTAACACGTTGACTGCCACGAGGGTGGCAATGAACCATGTTGAATGCTTGATGCATCTAAATTCGATAAATTGTATTGTTTGTAAACGTTGTAAATAGTATCAACCCCTTATCAAACTGTGCTATCAAAAACTAAAACTGAGCATTCAGGCGGACTCAGAAAAAAAACGATTTAACATGTCCTTATACGAAGACACCATGTTGAATGCTTGGTGCATCTAAATTCAGTAACCTGTATTGTTTAGAAACGTTGTAAATAGTATCAACCTCTTAACAAATTGTGTTATCAAAAACTGAAACTAAGTATTCAAGTGGACTCAGAAAAAAAACAATTTAACATGTCCTTACACGAAGACGCCATGACGAATGCTTGGTGCATCTAAATTCAGTAAATTGTATTGTTTGTAAACGTTGTAAATGGTATCAGCCTCTCTTATCAAACTGTGTTATAAAAAACTAAAACTAAGCCTTCAGGTGCACTCAGGGAAAAAATAATTTAAAATAAATTATATCCTTACACGAAGACGCCATGATTGAAAGCGTTAACCTACGATTGTTTCAGGGTACGGCAGCGTAGCGCCGCGTACGATCTGGGGTCGTCTAATCACGATAGTGTACGCGCTGGCCGGGATTCCCCTGATGCTAGTCTATCTGAGCACAGTGGGCGACGTGCTCGCGAGAAGCTTCCGTCGTTTGTACGGCCGGCTCTGCAGGCCCCGGAACTGCACGAGGAAGCAGCAACCGCCCCCACCCCCACCCCCGGTCGGCGGTATCATGAGCAAGACCTATAGATACGACAACCACGTTGACACAAAATCCGGCAACTATTACTCGGCCAGCAGAGAGAGTTCTTGCGACGATCTGGGGACGCGCGGCACTAGCAGCGCCATCTTGCTCGATTGTGGAAGCGAGGGGTTGCTCCACGCTACCACCAGCTCTACCGCTGCTCTCCAGGTACACCGACGTTCGCTTGTTTATTATCCGAAATAATAGTTGTTGTAATTGCCTCGGGTAAGAGTGAGAGAGACAAAGGGATGATAGGTGAAGAATAAGAGAATAGGTTGCTTTAGTAGAGGGAAGCTAAGAGGCTATTAACTTGGTCCAAAGAAGCGGAATAACATGGCACGAGGGAAATGAAAGGACAAAACAGTGCTGAGGAAGGAATCACTGAGAAATTGTTAGGATAATATACATATATATATATGTATAAATAATAATATATAATATAATAATATAAATAATAATAATAATAATTATTATTATTATTATATATATATATTACTCAGTTCATTCGAATTCAAAGTAAATTAATATTTACTTACTTTGACTTATTTACTTACTGATTCACTTTCATTAACATTTACTTTATTAATATTCCTCTATATCAACTATTATACTTACAAGAAAGTATAGACACAATACATGCTTAGGATTCTTCTCGTTTCCCAATAAATTAACGACAAAGTAACCGTATCGATCAGAGTCGAGAAAGAAATCATAGACCAAGGGGTTAACAACGTTATACAATAATATTTCTCCAATTGTTCCAGGACGTGTCGTCCGGAAACAGCAAACGTCACTTCCACCCGTGCTCGTTGTCTCTGTCGACGACCTCGTCGCCCGGTTACATGGTAGAGACGAACGCGGTCAGGATACCGATAAGCCTTTGCCTGGTGATCATGCTGATCTACATATGCGGCGGCGCGGTAATGTTCAACCGGCTCGAGGGGTGGAGCCTCCTAGAAGGCGGTTACTTCTGCTTCACTAGCCTGGGCACTATTGGGTTCGGCGACCTGATGCCGGTCGGAAGAAACGCGGCGACAGCGACGCTGGAGGAGCTCAGCTTGTGCGCCTGCTCCCTCTACATACTCGCCGGGATGGGCCTGATCGCCATGTGCTTCAACCTCGTCCAGGAGGAGGTGGTACGCGTGGTCAGGGTCTTCGGTAGAACCTGCGGCATGTCGTCCGGGGTGGTGGTCGGACCAATCGGTGGTACAGGTATCCCTGATGCAGGCATTCGACGGGGAACCGCTAGATCATTCCGGCCGAATAATCCCCTGGTTCTTTGTAGCGTTAATACCGTGACATTTTTTTCGCCCAACAGTGGTACCGTTACTTAACCTCTTAGGCACGGCTGAATTTTACGCGGGCCTGTTTCTCTGTACGGCGGAGTACATTGGAATTAAGTTTTTCATGATTAAATTATCATTTTTCTTAAAGATGTGATATACATAATTTAACTTTAACTATTTACTTTATTAGTTTAATAGTTACTTTAATATTTACTTTAATAGTTTAATAGTTACTTCAATATTTACTTTAATAGTTAGTAATACAATTGGGTATGATACATGATAGATTGGTAGCGACGGAACCACTATGGTGGCGCGTCGTTCAGAAAGATGGCGTCCGCGGAAGCCACTATAATGGCGCGTCGTGCCTAAGAGGTTAACACGTTCAACCCGGCGCATTTTCTCGAAGTCTCTTCGGCGTACACGAAATTATAAGTTGTTTGTTCATCTGGCAGCGCTTGTTTACTTCAGATGGATCAAAAGTGTGGACCACCGGTGGTTCACGCTGGGTTGAACGTGTTAACTTGCGCTGGAAATGAATTCAGAAATTTGGCAAAGTCTGCGATGAATTTTGTTTTTACGTATTTCACACTGATGTTTACACTTATTCTGTTTGTTAACCCTTTGCGGACGAATTTCGACTTTTCGATCAGATGAAATGTTCATATTTGTAATACTAAGTTGACGAATAACTTAACACTAGAACTACCGAGCATTTAATACGATTAATATGCAATTCCCATAAAAATTGTAACGATAGATTATTTTCAGTTTCTTCGAACATTCATTATAGTACTCAAATGAAGCTATTCATTTTCAAAATCATTTCGAATATTCAATGCTTCGAAGATATCAATAATTGCTAAACAAAAGAATCGAAACCAGTCATTTTGACTGGCACGGTAGTTCTAGTGTTAATTTACTTGAATAGCAAGTGATCAATGTATAGTTCCCTTTTTACTGTTGTTTAAGCGTTCGATGTATAATTTAGCATAAAATGTTGCAAGCTTTATGTACTTTAAAGAGTCTTCGTCCGCAAAGGGTTAGTCATTCTGTATAGAGTGATACATTTCGAAGTAATCGATAGGCGTAATGCAACAAGATTGTCGATGTGTGAAAGACATCATTGAGATTTTTCGGATAGAAATGTCTCAGCGTGCTTGCCACGTCTTTCCAGCGCAAGTTGTTAACCCCTTGCCTGATTTGATTTCGTAGGTACATTTGTTAGAACTATTTATCGTTAATAATGCACTAATAACAGAAAACATTCCATGCTCTTTCTATGTTTGGATTTAGTATATACCATAGAAATTGCTAAGAAGAACAATGTTTCATTTGAATCTAACACGACTCGATAATATTTATGTTTGTTAAACCATAGAAATCTCCACCTTGTGTCTGACACGATATTGTAATGGGTTAACCCCTTGTAATGTGTCAGACTCGTGAATATTTTCAACAGGATTTAACAAAGATGAATATTACTCGATTCATTCGAATTCAAGAGAAATATTATTCTTTTGTGATTCATTATTATACTTAAGAGCAAACATACATGTAGAATAAGCCTACAATTTTTCTCTTTCTCCAATAAATTATTAACGACAAAGTAGTCGTGTCGATCAAAGTTGAGAAGAAAATCAGAGGGCAAGGGGTTGACACGTTCCGTGCCGTTTTTTCAAAGCTTTCCATTAAGACCGCTTGCAGTTCTCAGTGAAAAACGAAGGACTCTTTGAATATTTATTGTAGAAGCAAATGTAAGCGTATCAACCCTCTATGGGCCAAATGTTTATTCATGATTATAACGAAATCTGTGCAGTAGAAAATTCATAAATATTTCAATACGAGTGAACAATGTATTCAATAGTTTCAATAATTTCATTGAACCAATATATTTTGTAACCTTCAAGTTACAATGACGTTGAACTTTCACGCCTAAGCGTGTCAACGTTTACAAACAATACAATTTATCGAATTTAGATGCACCAAGCATTCAACATGGTTCATTGCCACCCCGTGGCAGTCAACGTGTTAAGTGTTGATTATAATAATTTACACGCCTTAGCGTGTAAAAGTTGAACTTTTTGAAACTATCGAATACATTGTTCATTCGTATTCATACGTTAATATTTATGAATTTTGTAATGCATAGATATTGTTATAATCATGAACAAAAATTCGGGCCAAAGAGGGTTGATATGCTTATATTTGATTCCACAAGAAATATTTAAAAAGTCCTTCGTTTTTCAATGGGAGTTCCAAGTGTTACCCCATATACACCCCACGCGGCACGGAACGTGTTTACCGATGTCGATGGTAACGCTACCATAAAGCGCTTGTTGGTAAAAGTCTGTCACTCTAGAACAGTGGTTGCCAAAGATGTAGTTTAACTAACACTAGACAATCAACACTGTGGGTTAATTAACACTAGATTCACGGAACGCGTCGACTCGACTCATATTGAATTTTCTAAACATTATTTGCTAAGTGTTTTGCTAATCGTCTACATTTAAACCTCTAATTTCCGAAATCTGAAGGAATATCGATTTTTCTGAAAACGATAGAACAAGCTGTACAATAAATGTCCGTGAATCTAGTGTTAAGATACGAGTCCCTAGTTGTAGAGGTTTCACATCGTTTTAGATCGATTCGAAGTGTTTTTGCTTCCTCCAATATCGAGTACAGTGCTAGCAATAAAACAGTTTGAGAACCACTGTTTTAGAATTATAAAGTTACTCTTAACCCTTTGCGAAGATTCTTTAAAATATACACGTTCAGCAGATGAAGCTAAATTAATTGGAAAAAATGAAAGTACGTACTGATCTCTTGCTGTTCGAGTAATTAACACGTTGAATTGTTTGAAACAATTACAATAAGAAAATTCATATTGAATCGAAATATTTAGCAACACCAGAAGCTAGATAATAGTGCAATACGAGTGATACCAAAACATTAATAATTATTTCTAATACTATCTTCCTCTATCATAAAGGAGTGAACCTTACTATAACAAAACCCTCGAAATTCTCTTGTCAGTCAACGCATTGAATCATTTGTTTCTGACTTAGCATTCTGAATATGAAAATTCGATCTCGCCGAAAGGATATTCGTCCGCAAAGGGTTAGAGTGTTCTTAGAACTTGTCCAATTCTGCGCAGTTCGCTTCATTCTTAACACGTTGAATGCCAACCAAATCAAATTACAATTCGCTCAACTAAACAATGATTATTCGAAGAAATATCTATATTATAAACAACACTACCTAACGCAGTGACATTCAGATCAATATGCAACAATAACACTGCAATCGAACGATGCAATATTACATTTTCCCCATTTTGCTCAATGAAATCACGTGGCGTTCAACGTGTCAAACGAACAGCCTCCATCTGTGACAGAATTAGACAAAGACGAAGCGCGGGCACAAAAGTGTCTCGATTTCTCACGAACATGTCAAGCGATCGTTTCCATGTGCACGTTCGATTCCATACATAGAGAAAGAGCGGTTCTGATTCAAATGGTGTCGGGGATTTCAATCGAGCATCTTGACCACTCTGCATAACCCCTTTTCTCGAGAAGCACTCTAGTACGATACGCGTATGAATCCCGATGTAGACCGACGGAAACACTTCAACGCGATTTCGTTTGCCGTCAGGTGCCGGCCCTGGGCTCAAGGGAGACCTCGACGACGGCGGGGGCACCAGTGACTCGCGGCTGTCCGAACAGGAAGAAGAAGCAATCGCCATGTCCATGGTGCCAACATCCTGACAGCATCAGGCCAGGAGTCCCGGTGACGGGAAGCTCCTGGCCCATGCATCCAACACTGCCATAAAACCGTCGCCCGGCCACCACTCTCTGCCACGTAAGAAGTCAACAGACCCGAGGAACGCCTCGGTGCAACAGTTCCAACGGGCCCAATCTCTGAGGCGGAGCTGCCTGTCGCCGACCCAGTACCACCATCAACAGCACCATCAGCACCGCCAGCAAGAGAGTTCCCTGCACTTCGAATACTTCGTCCCGAGGAGCGTCAGCGAGTTCAATCTGGCCGCCGCTGCTGTCACCGACATGGCCGTGCCGCCCCCGCCCCCTTCCTCCGTGCTCCGCCCCTCGTCCGCGATCACTCCGCCCCTAGCCGCCGTCGGGAACCCGGCGAACCAGTCGCGGCTGCTCGAGTGCACCAGCACGGCGACCAGGAGCCGCGAGAAGATGGTCACGTTCGAGGACGAGGGCGTGACGTCCACGCCCACTAGGAAGAACGTCTCCGGCCTGGACAATGTTTTCATGTGACGCTGCAATTATGGCTTGGTGGGACTCGATCGTATTCGGATTGACGTATTCGGGCGTGGACGTTGAAGGCGATTCAGAACGGTTAGGGGATTTAGGGGATGAATTATGGTGGATTTAAGAATGGAGCCTGAGGATCGGTTTGGAGGGAGAATAGAGGCGAGATTGAAGGGACGGGTGAATGACGATCGCCTCTCCGTTGACGGGACTATCGATGTACAGATCGTCTGTAAGAAGAGATTCGGGCAGGTGTATCAATGGGACTCCATGAGTCCCCGGGGCCCAGTGGAAGCGGTCCGCCGGGACGAGAGACGCTAGATTTCTACCGTTTAAATTATAACGACCGTTACTGTAACACTAATCAATACTCTTATCGCTGCTGATACTCTTCTTCTTACTATTATCGTTGCTAGGTTACACAGACGCCAGCCGGGCGGAAACTCACTTTGTACGGCGCGGGGATGCGTCAGACTTCAACTATCGAACTACGAGACTATGTTACCTCTTTCACGTCGTGTTATCTTTAAGTATGTAAGTTACCGTTTAATTAAGCATCCGTTGGATAAAATGATCGTTTGAGTAAGCGGAGGCGTTTCTGTGTTAGGCCCCGCCCATCGCTTCGCTCCGCCCATCGCTCCGCCCTTGGAGCCTCTGATCGAGTACAGGTCGGATCGTTTTTATTATATTAGATAATTCGATTCTATGGGTTGCTTGTTATCAGTGTTATCGTTCGTTGAATTGGATTTTGTTTTGTACGTATATTTTAAGATATGTTTGTTCGTGCTTAAAGTATATACATGTATTGTGAACGAGGAAAGAGGTGATGTAGTGGGACAAGAAAGACACAGCCTTAAACACTTAAATATTGTTACAAAAGACAAGATATCGTGTAAGGTTTAGAAGAATGGACGGTCACGCAGCTACAACGGTCTGTCCTAGGCGTTAACACTTTAAGGGAAAAGAATCTTGTTTAACCGATGCGTCGGGAGTCACTTAATTTTAATACGAACCGACATGCCGTGTGTATATGTATGTGTGAGGCACGGAAAGTGCGGTTTCGACGGTGAACTTTCACGGACGACGACCGGCACAGAGGACCTCTCTGTCGAGCGTCTCGGTATCATTAACGGACCAAGTCTAGTCGACCTCAGTTCACGTGAAAGCAGAATCGTTTGATCGCTAGACTGGATCGAGGCTCAACGAGTGTTCAAATACGCTGTTTATATATACATACGTGTCTCTTTCTCGATAAAAATGGATTTTCATTAAAGCAGACGAAGTAAAACCGAGCTGTGTCTATGGGCGTCTTTCTTTCCACGGTGAAACTCCTCCCATGTACCGTTACGAACTTCCATTGGCGCAAGAACACGCCCACCGCGTGGGAACGCCTCAAGGCTCAATAGAGGCGGAAACCTCGCTCAACTTTCAACAGTCGATTGATTGTAGATACATATAATGAAACTGACAAATATCATACAAAAAGTATTTAAACTAAATACTGTTGATTAAAGGACCTTGAAACGTATCCAAGGTAAGTTATTCGGCATCCAGTGGCTAAAAAATTAGTATATTTACTCCTGATTTAAATTCCTCGAAAAAATACAATACAAATACGGGATCGATGATTTTAGACGATATAAACGTTCATCGATTTTCCTCCTTAATCGTCGTCCTCTTCACAGTAGTCCCACTCTTCTTCTTGACTATTTTGTCTGATCGGTTGCGCCGTCAGAGTCTCCTCGTCATTGTGATCGACGTAACTTTGACCGAATCCCAAGTTTTGTATGAACTCTATAAACATTTGTATTTAGACAATGATAGAAACGAGGATTGAAGAGATCGGTAAAGGACCGTTGAGCAAGGAACTTCCGGTAGACCTTTGATTTTGCTTATCAGACTGTCGCCCTTTTCCTTCTCGGCAGCTTCGTCGTCATCGGTTTCCGGTTTTATGTTCTCGTAGACGGTGCACCCGATGTCCATCGTGTGATTCAGAATGAACTGGACGGTGCAGAGGATCATGAAGATTAAGATCGGCAGGGAGAGCATGGTTTCGACGTCGTTCAGGATAAGGTTCAACCATTCCGGCAGCAACTCGTAACTCATCTTCGCGCGAATGGTATCGATAAGGTGCAGTCGTCGATGGCAACGTTCAATTTAACCGTCGGTGATTCAGCTTTCTTCGAGACGGTCGATCGCGGTATTTCGACAGGGTTTCCTCGTGAAAATTACGGCGAAAATTCGTATGTCATACTCTTGTCAATTTAGTTAAAGGAAGATGACATTGTCGAAACACAATTGGACGAATCTTCGCCGATTAAGAACGGGCAAAAGCTGAATGTTCAAATTGCTCGGGAAATCGACTGTCTGTATTGAACTAGACCGAGTATCGAATGTAAATTTCTTTTCATTATCATTCCGATATCATTTACAACGTTACCGGCGAAGTATACATGAATAAAAGATGGATTTTACGATGATTCTTTTGTGTAAAAGGAGCAGACGGTTTTTTGTGCCCTTCAAGATTCTAAGAGGCGAGTTTGAGAGTTATATTTGAGCCGTTCGAACTCCTTTGAGAAGCCTCTGGAGCCATCTGGAGAATCTTTTCGTACCCTCACGAGAAATGCATTGTGTCTCCTGGAGAAACCCCTCTAACCTTCTGGAGAAGCCCCTCGGACCCCCTTGTGAAACCCCTGAAGCCACCTCGAGAAACCCCTCAAACCCCTTTGAGAAACCACTGAAACCTCCTCGAAAAACGCCATGAACCTTTACGAGAAACTCCTCGGACCCCCTGGAGAATTATTCCTTGGCAAGACACTGCACGACAAGGGGTTCGAAGGGTTTCTCAAGGGAGTTCGAGGGGATTCTCGAGGTGGCTTCAAGAGTTTCTTAAGGGGGTGCGAGGGGTTTCTTATAGGGGTTCAAGGCGTTTCTCAAGGGGGTCAAAGGGGTTTCTCGTAGAGGTTCGAGGGGTTTCTCGAGGAGACACGAGAGATTTCTCATGAGGATTCCAAAGTTTTCTCTATTTTATTAATAGCATAGAATAATCGTGTCTAATATATTAAAAATCTATTAAGATAATAATTTTTAAAAACCCACCCCTTTGTCCACAATTGATAGCGCCACCTATTTTAAGAACGCTCAAACTTCTAGCCAAATAATACCAAAAGATCTCCACTAGATGGCGCCACCGAATAAACTATTATCTACCTTTCTCACTCCCACATATCCATCCTTCTCTTTACTCCCATAATTAGTGGCGCCGCCTATTACAAGAATGCTCAAACTTCTTCGCTAGAATCTTGTCGATATAGTAGATAACTTCTTAATTGACCGTATTAGTTTATTGTATTTACCGATTGTTATATTTTTCGTTGCCAAGATTGTTAACTTTACAATATACTTTTCACTTGTTGTATATTTTTATTCAATTCATTAAAAGTTCTTCAAAGAGACAAGACGTTTAAAAAGAATAATAAATATTGCTTATAAATTGCCAATTGCTCACTAATCAGAATACCTAATAAACGCATCAGACCCACCTCTCATCAATTAATTCACTACAAATCACTTCTATACGAAATCAAAATAATAAAATAATTATTATAACATATTCGTCGTGGTAAATGTTTAAATGAATGTTCAAACACTATGATACAATTTAAACTTCTGTCGTAATAATGAATATTATCATAAAACCCATAGATTATAGTCAGAGTATTTGAATCTTCAAGTTACATCAAACATATTTTGAACTACATAGAAACAACGATGTTTATATACATGGCCCATGTAACCCAGGCAATAAACAAATAGAACTTACTATCGATGTAACAACCCACAGCTGTCTAAACTATTATTCCCATACTCGAGAAACAGATGTCATTCACGTAAACGTCAAGCAAACTCGTTTGTCCGCGCCATGTCTGATTTAGCGAAGACTTTGTTATCAGAATATTATGGATTGAATTCCGAATCGACTAACAAAACATTTGTATCTATTCACAAATCTATCGAAAACGCTAAAGCTGAAGAGGAGAAACACTTTACAGAGCAAACATCTGTCACCACTAATGAAGAGAACGTTGTATCTGAAGACGAGTATCAGGTACTCGGATTACAAATGATTCATTATATTCTTTTAATTTAGCTAAAAAGCTTGATCAAATAGTAAAGTAGGATTTTTAAAAATGTAGAAACTATTATAGTGAAAATAATGTATGTTATTATAGAAAGATATCGACGATGACCGGAAATTCAGTGTTGAGATCGAGGAATATCGAAGACCAGTGAGAGCTTTCAATAACATTGAAGATGCGTATGACTCAGATGAGAATTCCGTTATTTACGACATCGATTCTGAACAGAAACGGACAGAATGTCCAAACATTACTCCAGTGTTTGTTACTAAAGAGAATGATATTAAAGACACAAACGGAAGCGACTCCAGTATAACGTACGCTGAAGACATTCTTCCGGACAATCTATCCGATGCATCTGACACGACGTTAAGAAAGTCACGAAGATCTTCGAAAACTTGTACACCTTTGCCACCTTTGTCAAAGAAACCTGTCTGCAATGAAATATTCGCAGATTTCTCTAATGCTGACCTAAAACAATTCCCTCAAAAAATATTAAACGAATTCTTAGACATAAGGGTATCTGTTTGTTTCGAGCAATTTTATTCGATCGTTTCAACCCCTTGCCTTACGATCTATTTTTGAACTATGATCGATAGAAATACTTTGTTATTAATAATTTATTAAGAAAAAGAACAGATTTAGAGGCAGATTCTATATCAATCTTTGCTCTAGAGTATAACTGATAATAGAATAATAATATTAAATTTGAATTTAAATTCAATTAATTTCAATGTTAAATTAATTTGTTCGATTCTGTTTAAAATTTACACGTGTCTGATACGTTATTAAGACAAGGGGTTAAGATATATAGTATCTTTTTAATCAATTTTATATTCAATTATTTCAAATATTAAGTATTGTTAATTAGATTGAATATATTACATATTATTCTGTTTGATTTTAGATGCTGTACCTGGCTGATAATTCTTTAACTCAGCTTCCGAATGAAGTTTTTACGACCTTAAGACATCTGGAATGGTTAGACATAAGAAATAATCAAATTTCATCCTTGCCGAGTAGTATTGAGTCACATCCATGCATACAAACGCTTCTTCTTCAGGCAAACAATATGGAGGAATTGCCACTGGAGCTTTGTAAGCCTTTGTACTTGTTACAAAGAGTAAAATGATTTTCTTAAATTCCAATTGAGTATTTAAAAGTTTATTAAGTTGTGAACTTAGGCTATTTCAAATTATTTTATTTTTCTTAAATTCCAACTGCGTATTTAAAAGTTTATTAATTTGTGAACTTAGGCTGTTACAAATCATTTTATTTTTCTTAAATTCCAACTGAATATCAAGAAGTTTATACTTAAGCTATTTCAAATCATTTTACTCTTTTCTTAAATTCCAACTGAGTACTTAGAACATTATTAATTTATGAGCTTGAGCTATTCCAAAAGTCGCATGTAATTAGAAGTTCGACGAACGTCCCTTAAAGAGGAATGTTGATCAGCGTCAAGATTATTCAAATGCCAAAGAAATATTCTAAAAGCATACATTTCAGGTACTGCGCCAAAATTAAAAACCATTCACGTGGCGCAGAACCCACTAATTACACCACCGAAAGATATTGTAGCTTTAGGCTCTACAGCGATTTTAGAATTTTTAAGGATAGAATGGAACAAGGTGCATCCTGAGCGAGAAATAGAATTCAAAGAGTGTAAGTAACTGAATTCTCTGAATTCTCTGAAAAGTAGCAACAATTATTCACTATTTGGCGTCACAATCTTTGCATTATTATCAACTTAGTTACTTTATTAAACATATTGATGCGACATCGATTATCTTGCATATTACGATTGTTTTCAAGTAATTCAGAAGCGTCAGTCATCGATGATTGACACGGCATTTAACGTGTTAATACATTGCGTACCGGTTAATCTTCAGAAAACTGAATTCTGATGGCAATTTTCACTGAGGTTAACTTATACCACTATTGTTATGTAACGTATATTAAACCTTAGCACTCCAAGTTGTTTTGTAATCTATCAGCAACTGCAACTAATTTCTATAGTATTCCTAGCGAAAATTAGAAATGCTATAACATTTCTTCGATCTTTTATTTTCCTTCTTAGCACAAAATTTGGATGTGCGGAAAATCGAATAATTTTAAGGTAGTTTCTTTAAGATTCATTAAAATATTTAATATTATAACTGGTACAATATTGGAGCCTACAGAGTTCAAAGGGTTAAATAGATAATCAATTCGAATCAAATTTTATATTTTTTTCAATGCTGTGGTAATTAGCAAAGTTGCACAGCTAAGTGTCTTTCTATAAAAACGAAATTTCTCGTTATCGGTACGCAATGTGTTAACAAGATCTGAATTTTTATTTTATTTTTCAGACACAATTCAGCCGAAGTTGTCGACTATTCTCTGTTATCAGTCCCCTCGGGAATCGAAGAAGAAAGTACCTTGTAAGATGCAAGTTCACGAGAGAAATGTATCTGTGAAAGAAAAGTTCAAGACTTACAAGCCTAGCAACAGGTATTCTAATGATAAATCAGCTCCGTTAATGAACGCTTGTTTATTTAAGCAAAGTTTAAATATCCTCTGCGACTCCTGCTTGCAAAATGTTGATACAGACACAAGTGAAATATCGAAGAACATACATAAGCAAGTAAAGCGTACACATATACGAAGCAAACTGAACAATACTGACAGTAAAACTGATCAAACAAATAATACAATTTTGCGATTAACGGGTCCTTCTCCAAGGTCTCTTTATGTCAGGAAAAATATAAAAACGCTGAAAACATACTCTACACCTATGCAAAAGGAATGCAAAGTTAGATTAGCTAACAAATTTCATTACTCTGATCTTGTAGAGCAACGTTCGTTAGTGGAGAATTACAAAAGATTCGGTAGCATTGGAAACGTTGAATATGTTTTTAATATTGTTACAAATGACAGAAAGAGATTCAAGTTATATCCGATGAGATTAACTAATTCAGATTGGATGTTATCGTGTTTAAAGAATTATATAGGAATAAGGGAGAAGTGACTTGATTTACGTGCATAATTAGATAATTATGTATGAATAAGGTAGATGATAGTTACGTATGTACAGTTACAGAAATTTAGAAAAAGGAATAAAGAGGTTTCGCTGACCATGGATTCTTTGTGTTAATAAGATCACTGATTTTTAATTGATTTAGATGTGGAAGTAAGAATGCAAATGCTTCAGTGGAACGTCGTGTGTTATGGTATTCGAAGGCGAAAGATTTCCTTATAAAGCAAGCATCGATACTTCAGAAAGTAAAGTATGAAATCCATTACTGTTAATAGTTTATAAGAATTGCTTGAACTTAGAATAACTTAATTATGATTTAGAGATGAGAATGTTTTAAAAGAATGGAGACGAGACAAAAGAAAGTTTAACATAGCTATGGAAAAGGCAATGAGAAGAAATGAAGGTACCATTTTCTACTTCGTACTATTATTATCGTTAAATGATTATTTTTATTAAATTTTGATATTGTAGATGATATTCCTTTCGGATTCGATTTAGAAGATTATTCTACGATATTCAAGCACACACATAAATCGGTGAGATTTAGTTATAATTTGTTTAAACATTTGCTAAAGCTGATATTTATGTATTATAATTTTAGAATACTACGAAATCGAAGGAGAAGAAGAAACTGGTATTCAATTCACCAGAGTGAGTGAAAAATGATCAGTATTAGATAAAGTGTTTTCAATTTCAAATAAAATTTGAATGTATTCTTGTTGTAGAGATATTAATATGAAAATTAATGAACTGCTGGAATCTCTGAATCACTTAGAAACGAAAACTGCAGATGCAGTGACACCAAGATCAAAACAAAGTTTACTGAGAAGAGATATAGATAAGGTACTTAGTAATCATCGTTTCGATAAAGGTTTCGCAGCCATTATAAAGAAGTTCATTTTACAAGTTTTCTTATTTGATGCATTTCATTGAAATTTCAGATATTACAGTTCCAAAATGAAATAAAAAACTTGCGAAAATACAATGACGTTGCAACGATGCCTTTGAAGATTGAAATAGATTGAAAAGATTCATATCAAAATCATTACCATTTTGTAGTCTTGCTCACTTTCACTTTTACTACACCAAAAGTATCAGTCTTGATATTTTTATTTAAATAAACCATTAGTAATCATATATTGTTTCATAGTATTAACTAAACATATATTACTTACAAGTACGCGACGAGGTAACTGGAAATATTGTTATACGCTTGAACTGTTAAGGAACATCAAAATCGAAAGCATACAAAGTATATTACAAAATCGGTTCTCTACGATAACAGCATTAATTTTCTTGTAAAAAATATATGGCTGTACTTAGCGCGAAAGAAATATATTTCAAACAGTACTCGATGACTTTGTAATGTAATGGTAAGCTTTAAACAAAATGTTTTCCAGTCTTCCTGTCGAAGTAACATTTCTCTTTATGGGATCATCGTGAAAATCCGGCGAGTATAAAATTTCTACAGAACAAATGATCGGAATTGAAACAGATTCGAGCGATATAATTTTCACGACAATCAAACCTTTTCTTTGTACATGGCACTACTGCAAATCCTAATACAGTTCCGTTTCGACTGGAATAAGAAGTTCACACCTCACCCTGTGATATCATTATAATTATTGTAGTATTATGTAGTTTAATAGTTATAAGGCAAATCTCTAAGATCTTCATTTTTATTTCATTTCTTCCCATTTTTATACGTGTGCGTATTTCTTTTTATTTCGTGATTACTTCCTACCTCTTTTGGTTCTGTAGATTCGATACACAGATTCATGTAAGCCAGTATAGATAACTAATCTGTTAATTCCTAATCAGCGAT